AAAAAAAGGTACAAAGAATATAAAAAATTGGCATATAAGACACAGCCATATAATAAACATCTTATTAACTGAGCCAGGTCGGTCTGTATGGGAGAATCTTGACCTCGGTTGCTGGTACAGACCGAATGCAGTGAGCTCTGTACTGGCAACCTTGGTCAAGATTCTCCCATACAGACCTCCCGCTCGGTTAATAGGAACTAAGTCCAAACTGACATCATAAGAATTGTATGGCAGTCAGCAACGAGAATTACTACTGAGATCTGGGAGCAAAAGTGTTAAGTTCTGTTCAAAACTGAGAAATATCTCTGCCCCAAATGAAGGTTCTCATCCAATCAAAGGGGACCTGGAATCTCAACCTCCAGCTTCCAAGCTTGGTAAAGTACACTGATCTCCAAAGAATCCATGATTTAAAGCCTTGCAACTTGCTTGTAGGAAAATCAGCCAGTCCTTGATAATCTCCAAGATAAGCCAGCATACCAATGTTCTTCCACGAGAAAGGCTCCACCTCTGAGCCCCTCCCTTGAGCTGAGAGCCCCATGGATTTGGCTAAATAGCTGCCCTCTCTCTCTGCTACTTGGGCAGTGCAGGGGTATGGATTGGATTCAATAAAGGAGCAGTCGCCGATCGCAAATACTGAGCCATCATCAATTCCTTGGACTCTGAGAAACTTGTCAACTATCAGCTGACTGTTGTTGTTCTTCGGTAGTTCAACTGAAGCTAAAATAAAATGAATTAAGAAAAAAATTCAACTTAAATGAAAAAGGAAAAACTAGCCATTTGATCACTTGTCACTCTTCATTAGATTTGACTTGAGCAAACATCGTTTAAATGTAGCCTGTGTTGGGCATCTAGTTTACAGTAGATCTACATTGTCTTTCTAGCTTCATTTTGGTTTGCTAAAGCTAAAGTTAGCTTGTAAACCTAATTGCAGTAGTCAGTGAAGTTTGGTGAGTGCCATTTCCAGTACAAAGGCTGTGTATATATTAGGTGTTAACTATCAACCAAGAATTCTTTTTCTGCATTTTTATGGACTAAGACAAAATCACGGTCTATAAAATGCAAAAGAAAAAAAAAGTGAGACTAGTACCCAGCCATCTTGCCCTCACCCTTGGTCAATAAAGGATTATTTTATTGCAACAATATAATGAGTAATAGAATGACTTGTTTACTTTGAGAACCAGGAAAGAAAGCCAACCGTTTTTATAGCAAAATGAACTCACAAGAGTCGTTTCTGGCTTCTTTATTGTCTGCTCCTTTTTGCTTCTCCATCCTTGACATCGTCCAAGAATTACAAAATTAGCACTAAATTCAATTCTCGCCCTAAGTGATGTAATAATTTTGATTCACACACTTTCTTCTATTACATAGAACTCGAGTCTGATGTGTAGGTTTCTACCATCTTAGCCATCATAGTTGAAGGGTTGTGGTGCTCTTGGGTGTGTTGACGAGCTCTTGCACGTGTTAACGAGCTCTTGTTTGTGTTAGCAAGCAGACAATATTTCCAGCTATGCAGCCTTTCAACCTTTTTGCTAATTGTATCATGTTCTTTTGCCCCCTTTATTTTCTGCATGCAAATTCTAATGTGCCAGCTTGTTGACTTTTTGTTATCTTCGTTCTTGACAAATCTTCTCTCAAACAAGACAAAATTATGAATGGGTTAATAGTACTTTGTTTCCTAATCCAATTTGATTTGGGAGGGGGGGGGGACGAAGGAATCATTGCTGGCATACTTTGGAGTCAAATAAAATGTTTGTACAATTACAGCTTTATGAGTGGCAGTCTGTTTTTCAGATTTCTTGGATATACCTACATGTAGGTATTTAATGAGTTTCCTTAAATAAAAATAATACTAAATACATAAATTGAAGCTCCCCCTTAAGGACTTTTCAGCCACAATGTAAACTAACTAAGCTCTTAAAAATCCCCACTTGTAGGAGGCAGACCAGCAGGCTATTTAAATAGTGCAGCCGAGGAGTTCAACTAGGGGCAACTGAGAACAAATCCAGTGAGTGGCAGGGTGAAGGATTTGAACCCCGGACACCAGATTACAAGTCCAGCACCCTGACCACGTGGCCATGCCCCCTCCTCCTTCAGATTCTCACTACCCATTCATCTGCTTTCTCACCTGTTATCTACCTTCTTACTGAATACGAGTTTATATACAAAAGCTAAATTATGATAGCTGACAATCAAAGCAAAAAAATTAATATGAAGAGCTAATGAGAACTTGAAGCAAGAACTTAAAGTTTCCTGAGCCCTCAAAAAAAGAAAAAAAATCACTAACCAAGACCAAGGAATATGTGTATTATATTTGATGAGGATGATGATAGTTTTCTGGACCAAACAACAAGCAAGGTAACCTAGAACCAAAGCACTGAGTCCTGGATCACTTTTGACTTCAGTTGAAAATGACTCTAAAGGGGGCTTTGCTTACCAGTGAATGGTCTTGGAGCAAGGCCAGTTGACCACACCACCAAACCACAAGGCAATTTTTCTCCATCTTTCAGCTGGATGTGATCAGCATGTACTTGGGTTACGCTACTCTGGAGAAGTTCAAACTGATCTCTCTGTCTCATCTTGCTTTCTGCAAAGGTTCTGAGCTTCTCATCAAAAGATGGCAGGATCTGCCTTGCCTCAATCAGTGTCACCCTCACATTGCAACGCTCATGAACATATAACCTTGTCACATCTTGTTTTACAAAGTCATATAACTCAGCACCAAACTCCACCCCAGTGGGGCCACCCCCAACTATTACAAAATGCAACAGGCGCTTTTTCTCTTCTTCCGAGACGCCGGGTTGCATGGCTAATTCAAAATTCTTGAGAATCTGATTTCTGATCATCCTTGCATCTGAAATTTCCTTGAGAAAGAAGGCATGGTCGTAAACGCCCGGAACACCGAATGTATTGCTAACAGCTCCTACACCAATGACCAGTTTATCGTACTTCAAGTCGTATCGATCACCGTTCAAAGTACTCTTGCAGATAACCGTGTGTTTATCTGGAAGCAATTCCACGGCCTCTGCTTGTTGAAAGTGATGTTCGTCTCGGAAGCCAGTGTTCCTCACTGGCTCGATGATGCTTCGAAATTCCAACGTGCCTACAGTTGTGCTACATAGTAGTGGCGTAAAAAGGAAATGATTTCGAGGGCTAACCACAATAACATCAAATAGCTTCTTGTCAATTTGTTTTAAGACGCTGTAGCTTCCCCAACCAGTTCCTAAGATGACCAGCCTAAGTCTATCGGCAAGTTCTTTCTTCGGTGTGTTTTGAACAGTGATCGCGCTGGTTCGAAGACTTCTTGTCACAAACCATCGAGAGAGATTCAATCTTGAGACTATTCTTAAATTTGATGTTGAAATCATAGCAGCGAATTTGAGTTTTTGTGTAACTTAAATCAGAACGTGTCGACCATCTTGTTTATGAACCAGTACCCTGGAACCCTTCTGCTCTCGTGCAAATCACGCCAATCACGATACCCCTCGCGCGATCTCGCGCAGGTTCGCGCGTGCGTTCCCAGCCCGACGTCAAAGATATTCCCATTTCTTTTTTACATTTTCCTTAAATTAATGTCTTAGCTTCACAAAGGAAAGAAATCAGCGGAGATTGCGTATAAAGGAAACCACGTTAACTGAAGCACTGACTGGGTCGTAAATATTTCGGGCTTAGAAGATATGACTGATATTGGTTTTCATATTTCGAACACGTAAACAAACACGAAGGCAGAAAAAGGGGATGACAGAGGAAGGGTGGTGGTGTTTTCGTCCCCTGATGTGACATTCTATTCCCTTTTCAATATTTTTGGATTTCTGGGTAGCTCTTCCTATCTCATAATGAACGCAAACTCTTTCCAAAAAAGAAGATGGAAATGCTTTGACTGTTTTCGCCTCTGATGGTTTGTCTGTTTATTGTTATTGCATAAATTATCATGCCGTGACCGATCATAAATTTTCCAGTGAAAGCTAAGGGATCCTTTGTTTATTAAAACGTCGATGCGACTAGTTGACGCATTATATGGCTGTTAATGGAGCAAAAACAAATAGATTATCCTAGGTAAACATTTGAAAGAAGTTTCGAGAAGCTTTTGAAAAGTAGCAATTTTTCCCGCGTCTTGCCCGCGACTTTTCGCTTGGCGAATGATTGACAGCTCGCGTTCGTGTTTAGACAATTTCAGCCGTGACTTCCCGTATGCGCTGAAAAGGTCGTGCTGTTTCAACTTCTCAGAGATTTTCAATTACTTTTCAAGAATAGATCTTTTATCTTGCCCAAATTTCCACTCATCCAGAGGGGAAATTTGATTGAAAACGTATTTGCACGGGAGAAAGCAGGCGGACTGTGACTGAGTATGATAAAAGATCACGATTAAGTGTTTGATCGAAGGTGAGTGTTTTACTAATATCCTATCAAAGTTGATTTGCCAGCGCGCTATCAGTGTATATCCTCTCTTCTCACAGAGATATCCTAAATTCAATTTCCTTGTGAATATTAACTGAAGTAGACCATGGCCATGTTTATGCGTACTAATGACGAAAGTTGCATCAGTTCGTTCGCCATGCAGAATCAAGTCTGTTCATGAAACACCAATAAAACGATTTACGCTAATTAAGCTAGCTTCCTTGGTTAATCTGAGATATTTAGGCGCTGGCTGATAGATACACCACCCACTGCAAGCGGTTTGAACCCTAGGGCTTGAAAGTGCTCACAAACCAAGAGTGGTTAGTTCGGATAATTGTTCTTCTTTTAGAGGTTCAGCTGCGGAAATACTCCGACGTTTCTTGTCTTTCCAGGCCGCCTAGATATTTGCATAACTAAGCTTTTGAGTTCACTTACCCAGCTGGAACCCAATGTTATGATCTATTTTACTTTCTCAAACAAGAATCAGAGAGAAACATGCCCTTTTAGATCAGAAAAGTTAACAATTAAGTAACAGTGGAGTTGTGTTATGAAATTAATTCAGATATTGTGCCCAGGAAATGGCGAAACGTCCTGTTTCATGGCTTAAAATGCATGGTAACTCTTGACTTTGTTCGTGAATCAAAACAAGTCACAACGATTTGAATGGGGTTTTGATATCGCTAATGAATACTTTGTAAAGTATTTTTTCAAAATCAATAACATGTATCTGTTTTTTTTAAGAGCAAAATAGAGGTACTACAGTATAACGTAATTGCTTGAGGTATTCTGAGGGAACAGTTTCTGCTGAAAGGACTTTTAAAATTTCCATTGCGTTTGATTATTTCATGAATCTTAATTAAATTTCGACCTTTGGATTTCCGCTGTGAGTGTTTTTTTGCACTCATGACTGGGGCTGCATTGTTTTGGTTACTAATACTGGTTCCTAAAGAACACTGCAAAAAGTAGCAACAGCTGTCATATATGGAAAATGAGCTGGAGTGTGTGATAAATGTCAGTGAACATTTTCCACAGATGCAGTAGTACACATGCTATTCCATTTTTATCTACTGTCTAAAACCTATTATAAAATACTTGACGTAATGAACATTAAAAACGTATTTGTGCACGATGAATTTCATATATTCGTTGTGTAATGAACATTGAAAAAAAAAGGACTTTAATTAATTACGTAATTACCTAAATTCTTGATGTAATGAACATGGAAAAAAAAGGACTTCATTATGTAATTACCTTCATTCTAATATAAAGTAGCTGGAGTTCTGTTTTGTTTTGTTATCAAGTTTACCCCGTATATTTTCATATGATATTGTTCACAGTTTGAATTGCTTACGTTGCTAGTTGTTCCTGTTTGAACTGGTTTACAATTATACCCTAATGAGAGAACACTCAGGGCTCGAATTTAATTTTTGGATCACTAACCCTTCAGGTTAGTAGACATCTTTTTTTACTAACCAAATTATCAAGTTTGGTATCCAAGCTCACAAGTTACGATATCTCAAATATTGAACATTTTGATAATAACAACTAGGACAAATCAAAAAGTAGCTGAAATTGCATGGAGACCTTAAAAACGTTGACAGTTATGCACCTATTTTATTTCCCTCTCGTTTACCATGATTAGTGAAGAACAGTACATCTAAAGCACGTTCTCTAAAAAGAGTTAAAGCTGATTTAACAACTTGAGTATTCTAAGTATTCCTCTGAGAGTCGGGTCTACATGCTCTCTGTCCCAAAGTCCACCAATGTTTAAATATGGTAGAAAATTTTACTAACCATGTCGGGTTAGTTGGACACATTTTTAGTGACCAAATATTGAAAATTACTAACCATTGGCTAACGGGTTACCGTTAATTTCGAGCCATAACACCCCTCTGAGTATCTATAGGAGTCGGAGTCTAGAGATCGAAGGAGTCATGTGTCAGAGTTTTTTACTTAAGTTTTGCCAATTCAAGTTATGCAACATTGGAGTTTCTTTATGCCTTTAAGACACGATCAGATGTAAGTTGCAGCCCCTATTGTATTTCATTTCATTTTCTTTTTGATTTCATTTCTTTTGAAATTAGTTTTAGTGCTTTTCCTTACTTTGTGCATTTTAATTTTCTGCGTTTCGTTTTCACTGCACGTGTACAATATTCAAAAGAGTTATGATCAGATTAAATGCTGTTGAATCAACTTGTATTGTTAATTTTTGTACTGTGATTGACACTTCCTGAACTCCAGTGCACTATGCCCTGTGTCCGCTGAACTGGGCATGCGACACTTGAGATTCTACAAGAATACTGATTGCTCAAAATCTTATATCCTTTTTTCGACTGGTAAACCCATCATAGTTGTTTTTATAAAAGCAATGGACCGCACTTCTAAGGGTTTTGCCAATGTATTAACCCACTTGGGATGCTGGGATAATGCAAGAAAAGTTTATCACTATCAGTTCTCTCAATTACACAAGGAATTAGGGGACATGCAGTGGAAATTCCAGCTCAAAGTTTTTTCCTGCTGAAATAATCCCTAAACAAAATCAAGAAGCCAAGGACATGGCTGAACTGAGGCCCTCATAGGGTAAATTCTGATGGGCAACATGGCATTGAAACAGCAACATCAGGGGAATGAAAATGCGACTTCGAGAACGACATTGATGAAATTATGACAGCGACATCAAAACCTTCCGAAATGGCAATGTGACAAAGTTTGAAATTCAGACGGGTGACATCTATACCCTGCCCTGAAAGGGCCTCTGAACTCTTTCTCTAGTAAGAGTGACCAATAAGTTATTTCTCCTTGAGGCTGAGTTAAGTTCTGTGAAGCAGAGAGGGGCCAAGAGAGAAAGTATCAACTGATAGGTAGTGTTTAATAGATTCAACAAGAAAGAAAAGAAACTGGTCTTTTTTCTGGTAATTTTGTAGTTAGGAGCTATTACTAGTGATTGTGCAAAAGCTAGAACTGGAAGGATAAACACATTCTATGCATCCTGATTACAAGAGATAATGACTTACATGTAATGGTTAGTGTGCTGGCCTCCGGGTCATGCGAGAGCTCCAGGGTTGAGACCTGGGCAGGATCTTAGGCAAAATTTGTTACTTTCATAGTGCCCTTCCCCACCCAGGAGCTTTAATGGGTACCAGGGAATTGTCAGGGAATTGTCTGGGAAGGCTGATAAATTGCTGGGGGAGGGGGTGGAAACTTTGCAATGGACTGGCACCCCATCCAGGGGGGAGTGGTAATATTCCTAGTTGCTTCTTGCCATGGATGAGCTCTGGCTGGATGGGCAAGTTGGCATCTTTATTATGGCTACATTGCTAAGTCATGAAGTGATTAACACGTAATTTCTCCCGATACTCTTCATATAATATCCATCAAATGGGTCATGAGAATACTCAAACTTATCAGGTAGAAGTTGTTATCTTGATTCAACAACAAAATAATTAATTCTCAAAACTGATTCACAAGAAAATGTGTAGCAGCTAGAGGGGAGAATATATAAACAATCAGATCTTGGGAGTTAAATGGTTTAAAGGGGGTGTTCAATAAATGATGGATGATAATTTAAAATAAATAAATAAATTAACTTTAATAGCTAACACAATTACTGGTAACCCAGTAGTTTACATTGTGGGCTATAAACAAATAATTCAAATTGAACATAACATTGTTAAGAATCCCAACTGGCCGGAGGCAAACCAGTTGGCTATTTACAAGCATGGCCGAGAATTTGAACTCAGAGCCACCATGAAACAAATTCAGGTAGTGGTCAGGGCGGGACTTGAACCCGGGAGCGATGGATTGCAAGCCCGACACGCTGACCACTTGGCCACACTGCCTCTGACTTTTAAGGACTTGACTTGAGGAGATAAAAAATAATTTTCTCATCCCTTTCATGCAGGATTTGACTTGAGTGTTTGAGCAATGGCTGATGAAGCAAGAGAGGATACTGCTGGTCCCATGGATCAAGAAGAAAAACCTGAGGAAAAAAACCCACAAGAATTATCATCTTCTGATGAAGTAGCTGCTGATGAGTTGTTTGATTCTTTTATGGAGATTGCGAATGATCCTGAACTCCAAGAAGAGGAGACTGATGCTTTGGATGGAGTTGGAGTGGGGTCTGGGTCTGATCCCCCTGCTCAGAAGCAGGAAGAAAGCAACAGTACTGATGGAGGGAAAGAAGATAAATTGGACAAAACAAGTGATGAAGGAGAAGCAAATGCTTCTTCTGATCCTTCAATCTTGGGCCAAAATGATTCTAACAGGGATACAGATGAACTACTAACAGATGCTCAAACTGAAACAAATGATCATAACAAAACAGAAAATGATCTTGAGGATTCTTTGAAGAGAGCACTTGATCAAGAAGAAACAGTTGAATCTTCAGAAGTTTTATTACCTGTTAACAGTGAAAATGAACAGTCATGTCTTCAAGGTGGAGATATAGAAGAAGGTGATTCTGCATTATCCATATCTGTTGGAGGTGAGGTAAATTCACATGCTATACCTGAGCAAGATGCCACAGAGGTACCATCAGAAAAAATGGCAACACCAAACCTGGTGTGTGATGAAGGGAAAGCAGTTGATCTAATTGGTAAAACTGATGTTGCTCAGTCAAATCCATATGGAATAAATGAGACAGTCAGAATAGAAGAAAGTTTAGAAAACAGTGGGGTTGGTAATATAGTAAAAGCAACTGAGAGTAATAAGAACGATAGTGTTGACAATGCTAGTGTTTCATCTGGTGATGCCAAAGAGGTTGATAGCGAGAGTTACCCAAAGTCAATCACAGCTGATGTTGCCAAGAGCTTATCAAGGGCCATGGAGGATCTGGCAGGGCTAGAACAGCAACTATGTACAGCAATGACTCAAATGAAACAATCAAATGAAAAGAAAATGGATGAGGAAGATAACAAAGGAGGATGCGTGGAGTTGACTACATTACAAAATGTTGATGAAGGAAACAAAGAGAGAGTGAGTGGTAACAACTTAGTGGATGAAATTAATAATGACAACAAGGGAACTGATGTGGATGTTGCTGAAATACAAGAGGTTGAAAAGGAAAAGGCTGTATCTGCTGAGCAAGTTCTACCCTGCAATGAGGATTCACAAGTTGAAGACAGCAGTGTCTTGCAGACAAGTAAACCAGTGGATGGACATGAAGAGGTAGGGAAAGAAGTTGAATCAGCAGGAGAAGTAAGTAATGCAGAGGAATTGTTGCAAGGGGTAACAGGACAGGAATGCAAAAAGGACCTGGACAATGCTTCAACTGAAAAGTCAGATTCTGCAGATGAACTTGACCTGGAAGTTGCAAGGAGTGGCATGGGTAAGGCAGTACCTGATATTGAGATAACAACGGATGAAAGTGGCATATCTGCAGGTACAGAAGAAAGCTCACCAAACAGTCGACCTGGAACACCAGCACCGAATGAGGATGGAATAGATTCTGACACACCCTCTGATTATGGAGATGATGAAGACGACAATAATGCATTTGTTCCTGACAATCTTGGAGCTTCTACTAATAGAAAGTCATGGCTTCTAGAAACAGATAGGGAGCGTCTGTCATCAGATTCATCGACTGTTTCGGAGAGAGACTTCCGTGAAAGTTTTTCCAAAGGTGACATTGTTGATGGGAAATCAACAAAGGAAGGTTAGTGGTGATCTGTATGATTTTTTGTCATTTTTAATTTTTTTTTTCTGACTAACTCTGACCAACTCTGATAAGGTCATGCTAGGAAGCAGACAGTAAATGGGTGATCAGACTTCATGATCAAGTACTTACAAGTATGATCAGTGCATCAAGGATATGAGAAGGAACAAGAGAAAAGAGATTGAATTTTTTTTAACCAATTAAGGCAATTAATTCTTTTTGTTGTTGTGTTCAGATTACATCAGAGGACACTTGTTGAAGATGGGTGGTTCTGGCCTAACACCAAAAAATTGGAGGAAAAGATGGTAAGACAGTTGTCCAGTGATAAAGTGTGGTGCAAACGATCTATTGCAGTTGATTTTTATTTAAATCTGGGATAACTTAAGATGTTTTTTGGTGTGAATGGGGTATAAGTGTCTTACTCTGCCTCTTTTATCCAAAAAGTGTAGAGTACCACTGGCAGTTATTAAGTATTTCATAAAAAAAAAACCCTGCAGTCAAGTTAACGTATCTTTATGACGTGTTACTTGCATGCACCAGGTTTGCATTGAAAAGGGACAACTGTCTCTACTACTACAACAAGCAAAAAGATAAAGCACCCTGTGGAGCAATCATCTTGTCAAACTACTCCATATCAAAAGCACCAGAGATTAACAAACCGTACTGCTTCAAGTTGACCAAGGGTGGTGCTAGGACATATTACATGTGTGCAGGTAGTGATGTAGACATGAGGAAGTGGATGATGGCCATGATGGATGCGATCAAGGGGTCCTCTAGCAGTGTATGTAGCTTTTTTCTTTTTTAATTTTCTATCTAACACAAATATCACTAGTAATTGCATTGGTATCAGAGTTCTTAGTAGGTGCTTGGGGCTCAAGCGAATTTCACTGCTTGCTTTCGCATATTCTGAGAAAAGAATGAGAAACATTTGATCACAGAATATGAGCTTGGGATATGGAATGAAACTTATTGAAGTATTCTTAGTAGATTGGCTTTCTTTTGGTTTATTTGCTTGTTTGCTGTTTTTCCCAACATCCAGCCATATTAATGTAATTGAAAAAACATCGTCGATAATGCATATTATGTATTCCTCTTTCCTTCCCCTGTGTAGTCCAATCCATTTACTCTTTCGGAAGGAAGTGTTCACAATGTCAGCATTCCTGCCCTATCAATCAGGGATCCAGATTGCCATGGTTACCTACACAAACAAGGCCAGGGTATCAAGGTTTGGAGGAAACGCTATTTTGTTCTTAAGGATGGCTTTCTCTACTACTACTCTGACATGTCCAACACAGTTGCCTTGGGTGTGGCAAAGCTTCTTGGCTACACAATTCAACCAGGAGAGCAGAAGGAAAAGAAGTACTTCTTTAAAGCTATTTCCACAGATCCATCATACAGGACTTACTTTTTTGCAGCTGAAAGTGAAATGGACAGGAATAGGTAGGGGATCTTTGTAGTAGTTACAAAATTAACATACTATCATAACATCCTTAATGATAATGAAGTCCAGAGTGGTTGGCCTGTGGATTTTGCCATGGGGGTCACACATGTCATTGTAATGATATCTGGAGCTCAATGGCTCATCTGTAGCCTGAGCTATTTTGATGGGATTCATGTATTAGAATTTTCTGAACATACATGTATGCTAGCACCATTGTACCTTGGTTGCCAAGCCTTTGAATAGTAGTCAGAGGCTAAGGGTGATCCTGTTATGATACAAATGTTATCATGCTGACTTAGATACTGGTCCCCATCACAACAAAGTCACTTTCAGCCTCACTTCAAATCAAAGGCTTGGCAACTAAGCACACAACTGTAAAATGGCCTACTGGCATCTCTCGATATCTTGTGAGCACACAAATATCAGGAGTGATGTGCTTTTGAGCAGCTGCATGTATGTATCATTTGTTTTGTTGTTAGTGCAATCTAATGTCACTGCCAAAGAGAGAGAGAAAGCAACAAGGAATAACCATTTTGGTCCTTTAGAATCGCACATAAATGTCACAAGAATAAAGGAATTGATCACAACTAAAGAAGCTATTGATTGTTGAACAAATTCTCCTTTTCAGCACCTTGAGATATGTATAGAGAACAGTACAGAGAATATACATACTGATGTTGGGGTGTAAAGGTTTAATTGTCATTTTTCCTCATTTTAATATTGTCAGCTAACTAAATACTAATAGCCATTTTCATCTTTACTTTTTGTGTACTAGATGGTTGTCAAGACTAGAGGACTCTATCAAAAAAGGATCAACTGCCCATGGAGAAGGAGTGAAAGTCTCCTAACTTGGAGGTTGAACCATGCATCCCTAGTCATTACTTGCAACTCTGACTACTGGTTGTTACTTTTGTGTGTGGGTTTAATAAGTGGCAAAGGATTAGTAATATTTTAAATAAATTAAACCTGGAATGTCTTAGATCAGCACATACAATTTTTTCATCTAAAACTTATAATTTGTTATAGATGAATTACAAAGAGAGTAGATAGAGAGAAGCAATGGGAAGGGAAAGAAAATTATTTTAAGAAATACACTGTAGCACAGCAAGGCACCATGAAGGGAAGGAAGGGGAGGGGGGGTTGAGCCATTTGTATGCACAGAGTGATGAGTCAGCAGCAGGTGCAAAGAAAAGGGTGCAGTTGGACCTTAAGTTAGAAGAATAGTACAGTACCTTTCATCTTCGAAGATCTTAGTCTAGGGTTTAGGGTGGGGTTGTTGGTTTCCATTGTTGTTGTTGTTTATCTTTGCTTTGATGCTTAGTTATGTTTGTGTTGCTTTTGATTCGATCAAGACAATTTTTGAGCTATTGTGCCAGGCATGTTATGTTCTTTTAGGATCTTTTTGGGTTATAGTGTCTTTTAACAGGTACATCTTTATGCAAGTTTTAAGATCTGAGAGAATTTAAGAAACGTTCATTAGAGAGCTCAGTTTTCTTGTTAATTTTGCTTGATGTTTCAGAAAGCATCAGAGAAAGCCATATCTTTTAGAAGATACTACTGTACACTATATATATATATGAAATAAAGAAAGATAGTTTACCGGTACATGATTATACATTAACCTGTAGTGTAGACAGGCAAAGTTGATCTTTATAATGGTTGGTTCCAATATTTTTTGGATACAAACATTCCTATGAAAAGTACAGTTTCCATTGCAGAAGTTTTCATAAAAATTGAACACTTTTAGTCCAAGAATCTTAGCTGTCATGCACACTGTTTTAGATATTTTTATTGATTTGCAATTTTTTTCTTTTGGCGATTATGTAGAACTAAAACATGCCACAGATGTTGCATAATTCAATAATGTGAGAGCATTTTTAAATAGGTACAGGAGATTATTTCTAAGAGATGAACATTTTGGGGCATCTATTTGCATATGTGGGCAACAAATTTTTTATGTCATCATCAGCAATCAACTCTAAGAGTATCAAGATCTCTTTAATGCCTCTCTTAGGAATTTAGTTGTAATAATATGGTGTTTAATGTTGAAATATTTTTAATGCTGGTAATTATTTTTTGTTCTCAAAAAGAAAATGTTTTCACATTCTTGAACAGCAACATTTGAAGGGTAGTGCAGCTGTACATTACAGTCCAGGCTGCTGTTGTTCATAGGGTCGGTGAGGTCCTACACTGGATTAATCTCTATCTGGTGGAGATAGCACTGTGACAAGGGTTTATTCATTGGCTACCATCAACTACCCTTTGAACAACTGCGCTGGGATTCAGAAACATTGTTCTTGCTTGGAGAGAACTTATTGAAGCATTTCTTGTGAAAATATATATTAAAAAGAATATTATATAGCAACACTGCTAGCATTAAGTTAAATGTTGCAATATTATTTTGGTTTCTCATTTAAGTGATATTTGCTTGGAACACTGTTTGCAACTTTGTTCTTGGTTCTGTCCTTTCCCAACTAAAATTATAATAGTGTACATGCAGCTTTGCTGGCCTGAAAGGCATGTAGCTCCCTTTAAGCCAGGAAGCCTGGGCTTACCAAGTCTTCTCTGAATATTTATTTTTTCTTGGAATATATTTACCTTCCCTGGCCACACTATACTTATGAAGTATGGAACAGGCTTACAAGCCAAAAATGACTTGCTACACCCTTGCCCAACTATAAATTCCAGTGAATCAAACTTCTAGTTTCCCTACTGTTGACTGTACCTGATGCAATTCAAATGATGTCATCGCAAGAAAACACTCTTGGAAACCTTTGTAGCACTGCTGCATCCAGTATTTGGAGGAAACTGATCATGAATTAAGAGGCTTGCGATTTTTGTTGTGCAGTTTCTCCTTGTCAGTACCATACAAAATGTGTTAGAAGCAGTGTGAGAATATACATATTGATTTGGGGGTGTCAAATCTGTAAATGGTCCCCAGTCCAAAATCAGAAAAGACGTCTAAGCAATCTGTTCCTGGCAAAAAAAGCACTGACTTTGTTTTGAATGGAAAATATTTAATACTTGCACAGATATCAGTGGACTACATTTGCTTTTGGCCACACTGAAATTTCTAACTTCACCAGCTGTCAGTCGTTTAGGCAGTTTGTTTTGCTTTTCTCAAAAATTTCGTCAAGATGGAAGAATAGAACTTGCAAGCAGAGCATTAAGACAACAGTTGTTGAAATAAACTGTAATAGATTCGTATTTTTAAAATGATTTTTAATCAACTTACAGAGTTCATATATTAATTTTTTATGGTTTCACAAGTTTCTTTGTGGTCAGGCTTCACTTAATTTTTTTCAAACTTGCAAGCAAAGCTAGCTTTTGGCAAGTTAAATACTTGCACCGACCAATTGCAAGTCCTTCTTACATTAATTTAAATTCCGCATTTTCTTGGACTGTTTAAAACAGTTCAAATTGAATGTCAATCAGCAAAGATTGATGAACGCTCTCAGAACGCTGTTCCTATAAATTAATTGCTGTCAAATTGCTTAGCTTTCAAAGTACCACCACAGTTTCAAACTGGGTGAAAGTTTCAAATTCGACAACTTTACGACATGCACTTCAATTCAACCACTATGCAATGTTCAGTTGTCTGTTTCATTCACTTAAAGTTTTTCCGTTTCTTCAACGAAAGCTGCTTAAAGCCAACTTCCTTTTGATGCGCTGTGGATCCACATTTCTGTCTTTGTGATTAGTTTTGAGCTGCTGAGCACGTGCATCCGTTGGCTTCGACAAGTTGAGATGACTGAGTTGAACGCCATTTCGCTTGTCTCCTACGCAATCGGGCGTCCGTAAAGGATGCTTTTCCTCGCTGTATGAATCCTTTTTACATTCCAGCATGTGGCTTGATTCTTCTTCTTCGCCTTTTCTTTCATTGTCTTCCAGAGATGGGTATATCAAGCGCTTTCTAATTTTCGAATGCGAATGAGCTCTTGCGCTTGATGGAAGATCTGATGAAATCACTCTTCGATGCAAGCGCTTCTTCTTCGGTGCCCACAAAATGTGCTGAGCGAAGGACGGATTGTCCTCTATTGGTGGAGTTGCTTGAGCAGCAGATACACATCTCTCCATGTCTTTATCGCACTGAGATTGAAATGAGTCTGTAAAGCTCTACTAAGACAAAGTTTTCCAAAGTTTTTTAACTCTCTACGCTACTTCTTCTATGGATACTCAAGAAGGTGACAGATGACAATAATAACTTTGGCGCATGTTTAGGCTTGCCGCGTCCTTATGCGGGCTGTGATTGGTTTACTCCTATTACGTTGTCACGGTACTGACCAATGAAATCGCTAAAAAATTTTCCACTTCCGCTATCCATTTTTATCGCTGGCTCTTCAAGCATGGTAAAACGACGGACGTAGCGGACAGCATAACAATTTTACACATTTGAATGGTTTATTTCCGCTTCGTGGTTAGCAATCACAGATTAATAGTTAATTTTACAGTCTATGATGGCCAAGAAAAGGTCTCTTGAGTCTTCTAAACAGAAAAAGAATAGGAAAATAACTAGCAATCATCCATCGAAGTTTAGAAGAAAGAAAAAGAAGAATGAAGAGGCTGATGAGTTTGATGAGGTATGGTTTATTTATTTATTTATTTATTTATTTTCATGTATGGACTTTGAGGAGGAATTTTTTAGAGCCTGAGATTGAAAGGAATCAAGGACGTATGGTAGACCTTCCAGTAGACAGTAAATGTTCTCTTGATTTCTCCAAATTATGTATGTGTACATTTAAATTACATCGAAATTAGGTGGAAACTGATGGACTATATAATCATGAGCAAGATGAAGATTTAAGACATCATGATGATGTTGACAATAGTGATGATGATGATGACACGGGACTTTATACCAGAGGACTTGTCACTCAGCATAACAAAAAGAAGAAAAAATCTGGAGGATTTCAATCTATGGGTACTGAAGATGTTTAATAATATTTTATTTTGAAGAAAGATGGTAGTTCACCTTTAATTGTAAACTGGCCCCAATGACAACGAAAAAAGAAGTAACATTAATAAAAGCAAACTCAAAAGAATTTACTTTAATGAAAGTGAACTTTAGCTTGAAAGAAATTACTTAAAGAAAAGCATGTTTACAACATTATAATTATATCATTCTTTTGTGCCCATGCATATGCTTGTGCAGTTGCTACTTCAACTCTTTTTCATTAGTCCTTTTATCCAATCTTTTACCATCTTGTTACAAGCATAGGTTCTTTGAAGACATTCCAAGTCATTATTATCTGTCCTTGATTGTTCCCATTCAGTTTGTTATCTTGTAATTCATATGCTATGTTGAGGAAGGGTTTCAAGTTTCTATAGGAACAGGGCTCAACACTAAGGGTAGCCCATAAGCCACAGACTAGTAGAAATTCATTCTTGGCCAGTGGATTTCGGTTTCCACAAGCCAGTTTGGCTGGTAAACAAACTGACATTGTCATAGCATCTAAGGTGTCATCAGTCACTTGGCTAGTATTAGTTGAAAAGTTAGTGTTGAGCCCTGAGGAAGTTGGAATCTTATGAGAAGTGTTTTACATTTTATTATATCTGTAGGCTTAAGTTTCCCAGTGTTCAAAGGAGTTATGAAGAAAGGTTACAAACTTCCCACACCTATTCAAAGAAAGGTAGGTTTGGCTAAATGTAATCAAAACTGATAATGGCAATCATAGTGACTAACCAGGAGCAGATCTAGGGGAAGCCCCCTCCCCTCCCTCATTATTTTGGGTTAAAAAATCACAGAAGGAAGAAAAGCCAGCAGGTGTACATAATCAGACAAAAAACAGCCCCCCCCCCCTCCCCATTAGCTCATCGTCTGGATCTGCCACTGCTAATAGTTTACATTATAAGTGTACATCTTCTGGTTATTGACTATAATGAAAAATTTTTCATTTAGGTTTATTAACATCATTATTGCTGTTTCATTGTTGTGCAGTTTCTCCT